TTTCTATCCAAACATAAAAAATAATTAAAAAGTAATTTCCTGGATTCGAACCCGTGTATTCGGTATGCGATCTACTAACGCTAACCACTGCGCCACAAATGTGTTGGAATACCATGCGGGCAAATACCAATTTAAAATTCATCAAGGTGTTGTGTTTCGTATGCAAGTCAGTCAGCTGGCACTGAAAACTCCAACAGTAGGCGGGACAACAGCTCACTTTAATATATTTCAGATGACGCAGTGGTTCGTACTGGGGCTCTCACGCAGAAGGACTGGGTCTAATTCATCAAACAGCTCCAATTCTACTACTAATGCTGATAAATCAATACACATTAATACCTGCCTTTGGAAATAACTTTCATAAAAGTGCGAACTAAACATAGAATTGGTGTAGAGGACAAAAACCTTTTTTAATTTATTTTCTAAAAGTTCCGTTCAAGTTCCGCCAAAAGCTGCTTAGAATGCTCTTCAATTATGATACCGGAACTTTCAAGTTCTTATAACGACTTAAAAATGAGGCTGCTTAGAATTCTAAAGACCATCACCAACTAAGCTGCTTAAGCCACAAATGGCTCTTCATCATAACTTTTGGTTACTTGGGCTTCGATCTCTTGGATCCAGGGATGTTATGATTTGCCACTTTCTATGGCCAAAAGGCAACATTCATGGCGGTAAGCTCCAACTCGGATTAACTTTTAATACCGTCCCTGTCTAGATGATCTACAAAATGTTTGCTTAGAGTCGTGTTGATTAGCTCTGATGTCAACATCAATGCAGCCGGACAGTCTTGCCGATTGAAGCTTACCACCATCAGAGTCGGACAAGATGATCAGTTCGTTCGATATGCCCGTGTTGAGAGTCGATTTGATCGCAAAGTAAGAGGTTGTATCATAGACTCGACCGTAGATTTGACGTATGATTACGTGCTCGGTATCAATATTTGGCGAATATGTTAGGGAAACCACTTTTTGCAGGCAATCAGTGATAATTTTGATCACCATTGCAACAGTTGGACATTTGTGTAGTTTTCAATAGCGACCTATTGAAAATTGATAAAGTATTTATTTTAGCATCTTTGTGGAAAAACTACCAATCGATTGGCTTGTTCAGAATTAAAATCCATCCGCTATTGACAGAGTTATAAGTGGTCAAAACCTGACCACTTTTCGTAACGCGGTTGATTTTGTTTTTTTTTTGAAATTGCACCTCCAATATGTTGCCGAAAGAGGTAATCTTACATCAAAAACGCTACATTGTGACGGAAGGCCTATTGCTCTATGCAGGCTGCCGCTAAATACACCCGCACCTACTGCATTGTCACAATTTGACCCGAAGCACGATTGAACCGGTTTGAGAGTAATTCCTGCACAATATGTCGCACTGTGTGTGCTTTCACCTGTCGTTTCACGTCCTACACAATACGTGGCTTGTATTCATGCCACCTTCGGTTGGTGAAACGCGTCCGCGCAGCGATGTTCGAGAGTCGTAGATCGTGCTAGTTGTTCAACAGGAAGGTCGACATTTCTGTGATCCTTCTCCAGCATGCGGATAGCAGTGCGAACTAAAGCCTCAAGAACCATGAGGTCGAACGGTAAGGTACCCGCTTCAGCCATAATTGCTGGAATCGGGCTGGTGACGTACGCTCCAGAGGCGAACCGGATCATCCGGTTGTAGACGGGTGCAAGATTTTGGATGACGGAATCCTACGCTCTGCTGGCGAGTTCAATGCCATAGAGAAGCCGCGAAGTGATGCCCCGATCATTTTCAGGATTCTCAGTCTAGAGCCGCATGCAGTTTCAACTGTCTTGCAGTGTTGTTTGAAAGCCAGCGTCCGGTCGAGAGTAACGCCGATGATCTTCAGTCGCGTCGTCTTCGGTACAACTACCCGATCGATGCAGATATCGTTGCAATAGAAAAATTTGGATTTTGTTGCGACGTTTTTAGCCCACAGCTCTCACCGTAGCTTGCCTATCACGATACAGGGGTTGCTCCTTATTTCTCCGTCCTACAAGCAAGATATCGTCTGCATACAGGAGTACGGTAACTGTATGCGGCACCACTCTGCGATCAAATAGTTCCCTCCGTCTGTAAAGACTCAGTTTTATAAATCTGAAATATTGAACCACTCTTTGGATTAAAGTGGACCCTACACGATTACTTTTATTGACAATAATCGTATTGTCAATACATTCTATATTGACGTCAATATATATATCGAGATTGACAATATTTCTGAATTCACATCATCAATATTATTGTCAATAATTCCCCTTCGCGTCAATATATTGATGCGTGTGGGGTTTGCTTAAGGCTTTTACTCGAAAAAAAAAATGCACAATTTTTATCCGTGTGTAATTTTTTTTATCCGTGGGTAAAAATTGATGAAAATCTGGGTATAACTAGTTTGGAGTGAATTGTTTACATGTGCAATCGGTTCAGTGGTTATTGAGATGTCATCGGAACAAGAAGAAAATCGCCGAAGAATTTTGCGCGCCGTCATGGAAAATCCGACTGCGACCATGAAATGGATCGGAAGACAACTGGGAATCACCCATACAACTGTGTCTCGGGTGGTAAAATCGTTTAAGGAGTCCCAGAAGACCGAGCGGCGGGCTGGAAGTGGAAGAAAATCGAAGACAGCTGACCCTGTGAAGGCCCGGAAGGTGTTGGATTATTTCAAGCGTAATCCGAACCTTTCGATTCGCGACGCGGCTCTGAAGGCAAAGTGTTCCGCCTGGTTCGTTCAGCAAACCATGAAACGAGCTGGGCTTCGTGTATTCAAGGTCCGGGAGGCACCGAACCGGTGGCCAAATCCCGCGCAAGGAAGCTGTATCGAGAGTGGTTAACGAAACCGATGTGTGTGGTTATAGATGACGAAACCTACATCAAGGCAGACGCAATGCAGATACCGGGGCTGGAGTTCTACGTTGCCAAATCACGGTTTGATGTTCCGAAAGACATAAGGAAGAAGAAAGTGGACAAATTCGCCAAAAAAATACTTGCTCTGGCAGGCCATATGCCAATGCGGTAAACTGAGTAAACCGTACATGACAATGGGTACCATCATCAGCGAAATTTACCGCACCGAGTGCCTCCAGAAGCCTCTGTTGCCCTTCCTGCGGTCCCACGGAGACGAGACATTATTTTGTCCGGACCTGGCATCATGCAATTACGCGCGATCGACGTTGGATTGGTACAGAGACAATAACGTTGTTTTTGTACCAAAAACCGTCAAGCCCCCCAAATTCACCAGATATTTGTCCGGTGGAAAGATTTTGGGCCATAATGAAGGCCAAAGTTGGAAAATCGTCCAAGGTGTTTTAGAACGAGCTGGAGTTGAAGAAATAATGGATGAAAGTCGGGTCCACCATTGCACAAAATGTAATGAGGGGTCTTAAGGGAAAGGTGCGGGCTTTCAGCGATGGAAACCCTAATAAAAAATAACCATAAACGAACGATAACCCAAATCATTGAACTATTCCACAAATGGTTTGGATGATACCCAGAACACGTCGTTAAGCAAATTAACCATACAATTTTTATTAGGGAAGGAAATTGAATAAAGTAATTATGCCGAAACATAATCCATATGTATTAGTTCATTCCCTGAAAGTTTCAAGAAAATCCGACTTAAAATAAATTTTAGGCGAACACTTTTGTCTGGTGCATTTTTTTCGAGTACAGGCCTTAGTAGCGGTGAAGACATTATTTTCGTTGATCTCAGTAAAAAATTTTGTTCAAAATACACCTGGCATCCCTGTGCATGAAGTCAAAATCGATAAAATGAAAATCACGCATCATCAGAATCGAGTGTGATTAAAGCGATATCTCATCATCTGATTTGAATGTACCTACAAAACTGTTTATTCTAATAATAATTGATCACCTTAAATTTCTAAATATTTGTCTTTCTTATTAATATAATTTCAGATTATCCATCCCGAACATTCTCCAAAGAAAAAAAAATCGAGCTCCCCGAAATCATGACCCAATACACAACAGTGTACGTATTCAATTAGCTCCGGTCTCTGCGCTGCCACCAACACCACCACCACCACTACCACTTCGCTGTATTCATCCAGCATCCACAAGAGTAAACTATCATATCTCTATATAGTAGGCTAGATCAGCAGATCTCCGAACCGAGTGAGACCAAGAGACAAGCGACGAGAAATCAGTAGTTTGTCTTGTCGGTTCGGTTGCATCGGGATCCAATCGGATGAACGGAAAGTAGCAGCCAGCAGCGTGTGTACGTAATTAATTGCTCAGTTCCGCTCCCTATCCACCCCGCCACCACCTACCGTGTCCACACGTTCGAGCATCATCCGGTGCTGATGGTCACACTCGTTCAGTTACTCAGCTGTGCCGTGTTCAACCTACCACCCCGGGAGGTGTCGACGGATAAAAAGTCATAATAAATAATTAATTAATTCGGTGCCACTTCTGCTTACTGTTTTGCTTCTGTTGTTGCTGTTGCATTTAAAGTAGTTTTGTTTCAGTTTGCGGTGAGAAGCTAATTTGCACTCTTGTTTCTCTTGCCGGCGACGGGCTGATGTTGTATCAACATTGACCTGTCACGGTGTGTTTGTCCAGAGGAGCATAGCGTCACGAGACGCTGAGGTTTTGTGGTTTTGTGCTCGGCGGAAAAGGAAGCGAAGCAAGAATATACGGTAGAAAGGAAAACAATGTCGAAGGTGGCAGCAAAAGCCACCAATTAGCATACAATCGTGTAAATCCAACTACCAGAGTGTCATTGGCAAGGTAAATAAAGAAAAGAAAGAAGGATAAAGATAAGCCAACCGGAGGGTAGAAAAATGAAGAAGAAACAGTGATCAGAAGCAAGCAGTGAGCAGAAATAATAAAATTTATACAACACTCACCAGTACGACGGCATCGGAAAGATAAAACGTAAATATAAAAACACGGGAAAAGGAGACGCGGAAGAAGTGGAGCAAAAACCGAACGAAAGAAAATTACTCGTTTTAACGTCATACAAGCGGCGTGGCGGTCGTCGGCGGAGGAGAGTTTGCGGTCATTCTACGACTGCTTGGGTTGATTGTTGTATTTTTTCTTCATGTTCTATCCCTTTTTCTTTTCTGTGATTGTGTGCAGCAGCAGCAGCCATCGTCGTCGGTAGTGAAAAGAAAAAAAAAAGAAGCAAAAATCTGCAATTATTGCTGAAATTAAGCCGAATAAAATTCTGTTTACCGGAGAGAGAAAAAAAAGCAAAACAAGCTTAAAGTGCTAATAAGTAATAATCAGTATGTGTTAAGCCGAAGCAAATAAGAAATTACCCAAAAGAAGGTGAGTGGTGATTGCAAACGAATTAAAGCATCAATACAAATTTAACGGTTTCCGGGTCGAAAAAAAAGAGAGGAAAAAGCGCTGATTGATAAATTGATTGATTGCGTGTTTCTCTTCCATATAATTTTTTCGATCCGTCAGTGACGTGCTTGCGGATCGGGCAATAAAAAAGAAAAAAAAAAGTGCAAGCGAGTACCAATAAAAGGTAATTAATCGCAATAAAAGTGCGTGTGTAGTAGTGGTTTCGAAGGCAAAAACCCCAGCAGAAGAGTGTTAAATAAAGCTGAAGAAACCTCTTCTCCGGAGGTGCAGAAATTATCTTTCAATTTGCTCCGGTTTTTTTTTTCTTTTGCTGTTGTTCAATGTGAAACCGGTTCGCCGCCGATAATGGCGTGAGAGAGTGAAGATCACACGGCGATCGACGACGCGACAACGACGACGGTACGTCAATCTTGAATCGGAAGAACAACAACACACGAAGAAAAGAGAAGAAGAAAAGCCGAAAATTCAATTAAACAACAACAGCTTCGGGGAGGTGTCGGAGAGGTGCTGCTATTATTAGGCTGAGCTGAGTGAATTGGAGTTTGGAAGGTTCCGAGTGGAAGCCGGAGTCGGGTGTAATCGGAGTAGAAATTCCATTAGTATAGCAGTAAAGTGTGGAATTCAAGAAAAAGGCAGCGGAAAATGTACCCGGCGCCAGCGAGACACCCGTCAGCTACGGTGAGTTGGTTTCGAGATGTTTTGTTGGTTAATGTTTTGCGTCATGTTTTTGGGGTGATTGATTTTAGTTATGCGATTTTTTTTGGGTTCATACAGTCATATAAATCGGTAATTGATGTTTACTTAAGGGAATGGGCTTCTCATATTTTCTTTAATGTTTCTTAAGAGAATGGTTGTTCATTAGAGTGATGCAAAATTTGAAATTTTCGCTCCACAATACTTAAACGATTCCAAATCGGATCCTGACTAACCTCTCAAAATTTGAACCCATTTTGGTGAGAAACTGAGATGGCACAAACCATTTGAAGTTTGTATGGGAATTACTATGGTAAAACCAAGATTTTTGTTCATGTCTATCTAATAATTCACCATATCGGTCTGCTTCAAAAGCTTTCAACTGTATTTGTAGGAAATTTTCCCAGCTAAAACTTTGTTGAAGACTATTTTTCGATTAAATGCAAGGATAGAAAGTTATCAATGGTTCAATACGCTGATGTCTTATGATCATGCTCAATCAACTGCTCAGCAGTCAACATTGGTGTTTCTGGGGCGTTGAATAGGACACAAAAATCATGGCTACTATGTCACACTGCAAAATACAGTGTTGCCTACAAAGCAGCTGCTTGATCATGTCATAAGTTTACCAATCTCTTAAATAATATATAACTTTTTCCTGTCTCGTTTTACATGGAAATGATCTTCAGCAAAGTTGTAGCTGAGAAAATTTTCTATAAGAATGGCCATCGAACTGTTTCGCAGCTCAATTTGGAAAAACACTAGAAGGCTTGTGTGAAGTCTGTTTCTATCCAAATGAGTTGTAACTTTGGGAGGCTGACCAGGACCCAATTTGAAATCATTTAAGCACTGTGGAGCGAAAAAGTCAAATTTTGCATCAGTCTATTGTTCATACTTACAACTAGCGTCGCATAGTTTGCTAAAAATATTTAACCACTCTAGCTTGTCACATACATCTGATTATTGACGCATTTCGCGCCAAATCGAATCGAAGTTGGCAACACCCTCTCAGATTTCAATGAAATTTTCTGGATGTGTAGACTAGGATCACAGGAGTGGAACTTTGGATCAGAAAGTGGCTCCACTTGTCATTTGCGAACACTAGCGCACCTAGCGGTAGAAGGCATCTTCTGCCTGCAGTTAAGATAGGCAGCATGCTATGATAGTGTGAGTGCACATAGAAAGCCCGTGTAAAACGCTACCACAATACATTGCTGGTTGAGCAGAACAACGGACCACTTTTTTATTCATCGATTGTTTGCACTTCCCCTTCTGTTCTGTGCTAGGATGGGTCATCATGATCATTTTTTCAGAACAACGTTTTTTTGGCTCCATTTGGGGTCTCAAACAACTGTGCGAAATTCGGGGACGATTGGTTGTAGCCCGGCTTTCCGCATTGCGTTTGAAATTTGTATGGAAATTAGTATTGGAAAACCTACTTTTTGCATCTTTATTACTAGAGATCACAATTTCGCACAAACCACGCAAATGCCTTAAAGAATAGCACAGGAAGTGCCCAAAAACTTTGCTTAAGGATGTGTGGTTTTAGAATGCCCCTAAACAAAGTTATAGAGGCTTAAAGATTAATGTTTCGAATTTAATGTCAAAAATCCCTTTTTCTGCCAACACTGCCGTCGTACTAGAGCTTCCATCCCGGGATGTCCCGGGATTGTGGCATTTCCCGGGATTTCCAAATCCCGGGAAATAAATTTATAAATCCCGAGATCACGTGAATCACGGGAATTTTTTTTTTATTTGAAACTCTTTTACTCCACTCTTTTTTCCATAGAAGTTCGTGGAACTTTGTAAAACCTCAGGGACCATTATAGATCTTCAGGACAGTAGAATGTTAAACAACTTCGTAGACGATGATTACGGAACATCGCATGAATTATACCTTCGTACAAGTTCAGCAAGCTGGGCAGAAATTCAGTTGTCCCTATCGAAAAATTAAAAGATGTAAGCTATGGAAAAATCTTTGAAGTACTGGGAACTTCGAAGAAGTTGACGGAAAATCCCAGGATTTCGTCGAATTTTCTACATATTCAGGGAACTTTATGTAGACTTTGAGTTCATGGAACTGAGTTTAAGTTCAAGAAACTTCTTGAATATACAGGAATCTTCGTATAACTGATATTCACGGATTTGCAATGATATCTCTGGATATTATTCAAGACTTTACAACTTAATCAAGAAATTTTCTGAAGATCTGCATGTGTTCAAAAATTCAAGACATCTTTTAGACATCCTTCCAAGACGGAAGTTTGATTAGAGAGTATTTAAAGGATATACAGCTGGTCGAAGATTTAAAGACGACTGGATATTTTTCAAGACTTCAGGTTGATCAATTATTATTCTTAAGATATTCAACTGTTCGTAAAATTCAAATTAGGAAATCTGAAGATCTTAAACTGGTCAAACATTCAATTGGCTCTCTCAAGATGGCAGATCGGTTAGGAAGTACTTAAAAGATCTCCAGCTGATCGAAGATTTCAAAAAAGTCCTCTGGATATTTTTCAAGGCTTCAGGTATTATTGTGAAGGTATTCTCCCAAAACTGAACGTTGATCAGGAAGTATTCAAACGATCTCTAGCTAATCGAATATTTCAGTGAAGTCCTGTGAATATTCAATTGGATCAAGTTTTATTCTGAAATATCCGATTTTGGTTACATTATTTATATTCAACATATTCAGGAAGAAGCTTAAAATATGAAATCAAAAACTTCATTTATTTAACAAAAATCTTCATATGCCAGGTAACAATTTTAAAAATCCATCGGAAGTCTTCTTCAGCTTTCGCATGTCTTGAAACAACTTCACAAATCATGAGATGTCTTCAAAATGTCTGCATGAAAAAAATACCTTCACAGAATTTAATATGTCTTCAAAATGAAGATATGTCTTTAAATGTGTTGTCCCTATTAATTGAAGAAATCTCCTTTTTTAATCTTTCTTCGAATGAGATGATACATACGAATATCAAAACAATTTACTATCTTTATTCACTTCCCGGGATCCCGGGATTTCCCGGGATGGTAGAAGCCACCGGGAAATGGAAGCTCTACGTCGTACCAATGATAGTCAGACTCCAACTCAAATAATTTCGGTGTTTTTTTATCTTATCGATTGGGTATGTTCAGATGTATTCAAAAATATGTGCTTCATTTAATAGGCGTAGATATATATGGAAAGGGCTTACTGTATGCTTTCCGGTCCTCACTTTTATCAATGATAGTAAAGATAAAGACTAAAATAACTTCGGAGTTTCCCATCTCTCGAGTTGTTCGGATGGGTTATTCAAAAATATTTGCTAAATCTCATAAAAGCAGTCGTAAAGCGAGTCCCCCGTTCCCTTTCCTACTCTTTTGGTGCAATATACAATGTCATATACATTCACACAAATGTCATTGGATTGTAATGATTATATTTCATTTTAATATATTCTACGATTTCTCAGGGTACTCTTTTCGATGCTGTTCTATCCCCTGAAGCAAATATTGCTGTTGAACTAGGTCTCGGGTCGATCTCTTGATAAGTCAGAAATTAGCTTCACCCTTCATTCAGCCAGTCATCAAGGAAACATCTGTATCATTACTCCGCCGGTTTTTGCATGGAGCCGGTCGAAATTTCGAAAAGGAAGCAGCACTTTTAGAAATGACGTTTGACTTGGAAACCCAACTGAAACGTAGCCCACTTAAAGTTAGCCCAACAAGTGCAATCCGAATGTACCAGTGTCTGAGACTAAACCGGTGAAGACAGTTTTCGTTTTCTCCCGTTTTTGTTTTTTTACGTACGACTACTTCTGTATTTTCTATATGCGGGTGGGCCCGAATGGCAGTTTAATATTTCAAACAAAAGCTTTATAAAGAAATAATATATCAGTCAAACAACATCTCCACACTAACAAATGAACGGATATTAAATATTTACAGTACAACAACTTTCGTTTTAAAAATTGCATATAGTATGCCCCCACCCCCGCTTTCTAACTACGCTTATGAGATTGAGCAAATGTTTTTGAATATTTTTTTGTTTTGTTTATTAAGTTATTTGATAAGGCTCAACCGAATTAACTTTACAGAGCCGAGGATTCTTGGTCACTATACAATACATCTTAAAACTATAGTCAAAAGGTACAACACAATAAACACTTTATCTTCCGCTATCCAAAAAGCCTCCTCCATCAGAACTGGAGCCGCTTCCAGTAGTCTCATTGTATGGCAAATTGTTGTACGCCAATTGTTGTCAGAGCGCGTCCATTGCAGCAATGGACGCAAAACCGTGGTCAGCAATCAGACACTCATCACGAAACGGTTGCTTTCCAAAGTCGACGACGGATCGACCGAAAGAACTGCTGATGAAGAACAATGAGGAGGACCACACAATGGTTGCTGCCGAGAAAACAGACGATCGCGTAGCACACATCGAGAGTGGCCAAGCCGAGTGAACACTGGAATAATTTATCTAAACATACCAAATCGATAAGATAAGAAACTCCGAAGTTATTTCATTTTGAAACTTCACTTCTATTGATACGAGTGAGGGGGCGGGGTATATTATTACTTCCCCTCCCCCCCTCTTCAACTATACATATGAGATAGAGTAATTGTTTTTGAATAATTCATCTGAACATACGAAATCGGCAAGATAAGAAACTCCGAAAATATTTCAGTATGGAATCTGACTCCTATTGGTACACCGGCAGTGTTGGCAGAAAAAGGGATTTTTTGTGTTTAATTCAAACCATAAATATTTGAATAGTTATAACTTTTTTTTAGATACATTCTAGCACCGTACTTTCTTTGGCATAGTTGTTAGGAACTTCTTGAACTATATTTGTACATACTGAGTTGCATGGCTCATTGCAGGTTTTCCCATACTAATTTCCATACAAATTTCCATCAAAATGCAGAAATCCGAGTTACAACCAATCGTCCCCAAATTTCGCACAGTTGTTTGGGACTCCAAATGGAACCAAAAAGAA